CACTGAAAGTACAATTGGTTCACGAGCAGGGGTAGATAAGAAATAAATTGTATTGCATACTTTTGATCCATTGATATTCTTTTTGTGTATGTACTATTAATAAATATGTGATTTTTAAACTTTTAAAACAAATTTTAAATATGTACTATCAATAAAGAAGGATCGAATCAAACATTAAAGTATTTGGCAGTCTCATTTCTCAATGAATGTATTTTATTCTTAACAAACACCCAAAACGTACTATTAAAGTTATTTAGAAAATACGACAACTTTAAAGGGCTCTACTTTTTAAAGCAGGCAACTAACCATCACCAAATTTTGCTTAAAAGTAGAATAGCATGTGGATATGATGTGGAATAAAAATTACTGTTGTGTCTGTATGGCTTCCATAAAAATTTTTCCAATAAAGATGACGTATATTTCGTGTTTTCAGAAACACATAATTAGACTTTTTGCTGTGCCATAACACATTACTGCTTGCAGATACAAAGATGAAGGTACAATATTTGAAATCTCCGCATACAAATACATCTCTGTGCAAATTTTGATCGATATACCATGTACGGGTATGAAGTTACAGGTCAAAATGTAAAATAGGGTAATGGTGAATTTAGCATTGGCCACGCCCAGTTTTTTGCTTTTCAGGCCATATTTCGAATTGCGATATCTCAAAAACTATTGCAGCTACGATGCTCGAATTTTGAACTTAAACTATTCCCACACAATGTTAACTGCCTGCGAAATATAAAGAAATTTGGAGAGGGTGGGTGTCAAATCAGTTTTTTTTGTGTTGAAATGGCATGGAATTACTCTTAATTTTGCTTAAGTAGAGTAAAGTGAGACCTCAGCTGAGAAACTCATGCTAACACAAAAACTGCCAAACAAAATCATACCAAACTTTCACATATTAGAGTATCATTGCTCAGAATGATTTTAAAACTGAAACAAACTGTTTAGTAACAATACTCAGCGTTTGAGAAGTGTTTTCATTAGTTTATTATGATTATAAGTTGATAATTAGTTTAGTAAATCAATGTCAAGCCACCTTGAATGCCTCGAGATTTAGTCAAACATTCATGAAATCTCAGCAACTTATACAACACTTACAGACAAGTATTTTGGTGGCTATATCTTTCATCTACAGTACTTTAAGTGAAACCAAATTTATATTCAGATGACATGTTAAAATTAGTGAATTTTCCTCAAGTAGATTGAAGTAATACTGTATCTCAGCAGAGAAACTCATGCTAACACAAAAACTGCCTAACAAAATCATACCAAACTTTCACATATTAGAATATAAATGCACAGAGAATGATTTTAAAACTGAAACAAACTGTTTAGTAACAACACTCAGCCTCTGAGCAGTGCTTTCATTGGCTTATCATGATTATAAGTTGCTAATTAGTTTACTGTAACAAACTGTTTAGTAACAATACTCAGCCTTTGAAGTGTTTTCATTGGTTTATTATGATAATATAAGTTGCTAATTAGTTTAGTAAATCAATGTCAAGCCACGTTGAATGCCTGAGATTTAGTCAAACACTCAAGAAGTCTCAGCGACTTATAGAACAGGTATACACAAGTATTTCGGTGGCTAATATTTCATCTACTTTCAGTGAAACCAAATTTATATTCAGATGACATGTTAAAATTAGTGAATTTTCCTCAAGTAGATTGAAGTAATACTTCAGCTGACAAACTCATGCTAACACAAAAACTGCCTAACAAAATCATACCAAACTTTCACATACATGTATTAGAGTATGTATAAATGCACCAAGTGATTTTAAAACTGAAACAAAATGTTTAGTAACAATACTCAGCCTTTGAGAAGTGCTTTCATTGGGTTTTTACGATTATAACTTGCTAATTAGTTTAGCAAAGCAAATTGTCAAGCCAACTTAAATAGCTGAGATTTAGTCAAACACTCATGAAATCTCAGCAACTTATACAACACATACAGTATGTGTAGACAAGTATTTTGGTGGCTATATCTTTGATCTACAGTACTTTCAGTGAAACTAAATATATATTCAGATGACATGTTAAAATTAGTGAATTTTGCTGAAGTATAGAGTAAAGTAAGACCTCAGCTGAGAAACTCATGCTAACACAAAAACTGCCTAACAAAATCATACCAAACTTTCACATATTAGAGTATAAATGCACAGAATGATTTTAAAACTGAAACAAACTGTTTAGTAACAATACTCAGCCTCTGAGACGTGCTTTCATTGGTTTATCATGATTATAAGTTGCTAATTAGTTTACTGTAACAAACTGTTTAGTGACAATACTCATATGGGGCGCCGTTTGTAAAAAAACTCCTTGACATAAACAAACGTGTTTTTGTTGCGATTTAGATACATTTTGCAGTGTTATACACTATTTTTTTGTTATTTACTAAATCGCAAATGCAATGTTATTGTCATTTATTAAATCGCAAGTGCAATATGCCATTGTCATTTAATAAATCGCAACGCAATGTCATTGTCATTTAATAAATCGCAAGTGCAATGCCATTGTCATTTAATAAATCGCAACGCAATGTCATTGTCATTTAATAAATCGCAAGTGCAATGCCATTGTCATTTAATAAATCGCAACGCAATGTCATTGTCATTTAATAAATCGCAAGTGCAATGCCATTGTCATTTAATAAATTGCAAGTGCAATGCCATTGTCATTTAATAAATCGCAAGTGCAATGCCATTGTCATTTAATAAATCGCAAGTGCAATGCCATTGTCATTTAATAAATCGCAAGTGCAATGCCATTGTCATTTAATAAATCGCAAGGCAATGTCATTTACTAAATCGCAAGTGCAATGCCATTGTCATTTAATAAATCGCAAGTGCAATGCCATTGTCATTTAATAAATCGCAAGTGCAATGCCATTGTCATTTAATATATCGCAAGTGCAATGCCATTGTCATTTAATATATCGCAAGTGCAATGTCATTGTCATTTAATATATCGCAAGTGCAATGTCATTGTCATTTATCTGCTTGCGGGCACCTTGAGTATGGTCATCGGTTTCTGCTGAAAGAGAGAATTGGATTGGCCGGAATATTTTTGGCGGGAAGTCGTCGGAAACAAAATGGCGAGCCGCAACGACAACGATTTGGCGAGGATTATTTCTGAAGCTGTTACGGTCGCTCTCCGCCAGACAAGTAACGAAAGAAATGTAGCAGCGACTAGTACATCAAACAACGAGACACGGGTATGCATTGTAGCATGGTAATCATTTACGTATCCGAGAATATTTGCATATCCGATGCAGTGAAATATGTAAATCAGTGAATGTATTAAAATGGACCAAACCAGCTACAAAAACCCCCGCAAATATATGGTCTGATAATTGGTCTAATAATGTTTTTCTTTGATGATATCCCATCAACTCTACTGTCTGTAAACCTTCTACATCAGTTAAATTGTTCTTATACCCATAAGAACATTATAATGTACCCCCCCCCCCCTGGTAATAAGCCCCCACTCAGAGAGCTACAAATAGAAATAAGCCCCCATCCTCTATATTTACTTAATTAATATAGATTAATATACAGTTTAAAATATAAAAAAGCTTGTCAAGTCCAATAATAAATTCAGTGGTGGTTGCTAGGTGAGAGGGTGGTGTGTTGATTGCACTGTGTATTTCACCTCAAATACCTGGCAATGAAATGGCCAGACAAGTAATAATTTGGTGTAATAATTTTATCGATTTTGTACTGGGAATACAATAGATTCAATGCCATAGCTTGCTATCACTCAGTTTCTGGTGGATTCATCATAACTTTATGGTTTTCAGAGTCATAAGACTTAGAGGGTGTTCAATGAATGATGAACATTGAAAAAATTTAAATTGGTGCTATATGTTTTAATAGGGGGATGTAGTAGAGACAAACATAAGTGATGGGCAAAACAATAACTAGAGAGTGCAGTAAAAATTCCACTCACTATCTAAGCGATACAACATAATTTGACGTTTCGAGCAAAGGCCCTTTGTCTGGAATTAGTGACAAAGGGCCTTTGCTCAAAACGTTGAATTCTGTTGTATCGTTTAGGTAGTGAGTGGAACTTTTACTGCATTCTCATGTTATTATCCACTGCCTACACTGGCCATGCACATATTGAAGTTTGGTAAAACAATAACTAGGACTTATTTAAAGAAAATTAGAATAAATGAATGATAAGGCCAAATTGTTTTCAATTTTTTTTACATCCACTGGGAGATGTTTTCTTGAAAAAAACTATGTTGGATTCGTATTAAAACAACATACAAACAGTGACAGTATATACATTTTTGTACACTCCTATAGAGAGCAGGTGGACATCATACAGTTGCAGCACCAGTACCACTACCCAGCTCATTTTCAGACAGGCAGGCTGAATTGCCTCCCACCAGAAAAAGACGTCGGACAAGTGGACAAAGACCAAAGTCCACACTAAAACTGTAGTTTGCTTACCCCCAATAAATGGTCCAACTATTGTCATTCCGAGAGGTGAAACACGCTCAAAAATGGTTGAAGATGGAATGGTGGCTAAAATGTCATTCGAGTCCACTTGGAATGAGACTCGGATAGGAGCAGAAATTTATTCCTTATTCCATCATCTGTTTGAAAATGAAACTGCCAATGAAATGTTTAGTTTCAAATATTTAAGGTAGGCAAAACTGCCAAGTACTGGCAAATAACTCAACTAGCTGTTTATTCACCCTTACATAAATTGCAATGAGTAAGGATAGACCATTGGGCGAAATTGCTATCTTTCAGTTTCGTTCCTGAATAACGAAACTACCTAAACTTTAGTTATTTTGTTAGATCACAGTATGATAAATATAAAATCAAATATTTGTTCCAAAATTTCCTTTGCAAAATGTGAAAATTTTATCTTTTTGACCCTTTTTACAGCTTCGGGGATAATGGGGGTTTAACAGGGAACATATCAAGATTTTGACGGGATAATAGGGGTGTAATGTTGATAGGGTTAGAAACAACATGGCGGCTTCAACTTCTGCCCAAATTTTGCCTTATTTGGATAACAAGTGTTATTTACATATTGTTGATGATGCAAAGTGCGATATTAAACCGCTAACAAGTAAGAGGTTAGAGACATTAGTAAAACGAATTGAAGATTGGAAAGGTTTATACGGAAAACAACTTGACATTGCTCTCATTTTGGAAAGAAAAGGATTGACCGATTTCGTTGATATAAATAGTGGCCTGATTCGGTTGGAAGATGATTTTTGTCAAAAATTTACTAATATTTCTATTATAAACAAGGTAAGTTTGTCAATTTAATTTTACAGCATATTGTAATTTGTAATATTATACTTATTTTTGGAATGGGAGTATTATTTGCATTAGTTATATTAAATTTGTTTAAATGTATTTCTTATAAAGTATTAAAAAGCTATGCTAAAATGTTATGCAATACCGTAATAGCCTTTTTTTTGTAGTAGTATTTTGTAGTTATATATATGTGCCATTGTGTTAGATAGTAGATTATTTATTTCTATATGCAGGCAAGGAGAACTTTAGAGAGAAAAGGGAAAATGGAAGAAGAACCAGCTGTACCACCATCAAAACCCAAAATGCCATTTCTCCGAAGCAAGGTCCCAAAGATGTCCCAACAACCACATACAATTCTACCCAAGTTGTGTATTATTTGCAAAAAGCTAACTAAAAGGACTAAGATTAAGGGAAAGTGGGTGCATGAATCATTGTCTAAAGCAGAAACATCAGATGCACGTAAGATTGAGATAAAAAGCCCAAAGTAGAAGGGATGTTCAGTATGTGTGTATTCTTATCACGTTGGTTATTTTCTGCTTAAAATATGATTTATAGTCAACTTATCAAGTGTAGTCTATCAAAGGCACACAAATGCACACATTTTCCCACTTTTTAGGCACACATTTTCAAAGGCACACATTTCCCCACTTTTTAGGCACACATTTTCAAAGGCACACATTTTCAAAGGCACACATTTTCCACTTTTTAGGCTAGCTTCGTAGTGCTGCTGAAAGGATAGATGACGAAACTATCTTGAAGGACATTAGAGGAAAAGACTGTTCATGTATTGAGGTCCAGTACCATAAGAGCTGCTACAATGATTATGTCCGTGTTTTAAAAGGAAATGACTCTGTTGGTGAAAAGTAAGTTTTGATTTTTATAGTTAATTTTTATAGATAATGTTTCAGATGTCTTTGTTGTTGTTTACCTTCACTTGAAAATTAACAATACAAATAGGAAATAAAGTACATTTCTTATTTAGGGACGGACCATTAGAAAAGTGATGGGGGGGGGGGGCAAAAACCCCCCAAAAAAATTATTCCCAGAAACAAATTAGAAAAAAAAAATCTTCCCAGCCATAGTGCAAAAAAAGATCCTTCCTTGGAAGATAGGCCTATAAATTTTAATTAAAAAATATATATTTCCAGCCATCAAGTGAGAAAAAAAAAATTTCTTCTATAGGTGTACAAAAAAAAAAATATTGCCCCTTAGAAAATCCCCCCTCCCCCCCATCACTTATCACTTTTCTAATGGTCCATCCCTTATGGTTACATGTTACGTTTTAGGAAAACAAACTTCTTTTCTGAGCACAAAGCAGGTTATGATGCTTTCTGTAAAATAGTGATCAAAGAAAGGTTAGAAGTGAATTGTGAGATTCTGCGCTTGACGAAATTGCAGCAACTACTTCTCAAACATATACAGCTTGAAGAACGTGTGCACCTAGAAAACATACGGTATGGGCTTATATATCATTATATGCATTAATTTATTATTTTAGAGATATTTTTTTTGCAAAAATGTCACATCTCTTGATTGTCTTAGTTGGATAATTACCCATTTTTTCTCTTTAAGATCTGATATGTTGAGAGTGAGATTACAAAGGGATTTTGAGCAACTTGTGTTTCACATTCCATCAAGAAGGTTTGTAAATCACTCAGTGTTTTTCGTTTATAAGTGTGAAAACATTATGATCAATGCTATACACTCAAATAGAACTAAAATTATATATGTTTTTGACAATTAACATGCCTGTACTGATAATACCGTATTTTAGGAATGAATCCACAATTGTATATTGTCAAAATGTAACAGCTGGTGACATAGCACAGCAGTACTTGCCTACAAGTCAAGTTTCTAGTGTTGAAGATGAAAGTGATGAAAATGACTCTTCAGAAGTTTTAGAAAATGAGATTAGAAGTAGTAGAATTGACAGGCATCAAACAAGTCAGGAAGGCAGTTCTGAAAATACATTTAAAGAATTGTTTATGTCAGGTTAGAATTTTTAGATTTTTTAGTGGTGTATTATTCTAAGGAGTACAAATATACAGCGATATTTGGACAGTTTGTTATTTGGTTTAGTTTGTTACAAGCTTATTTGGTTAGCCCATCAAATTTGTTGCATAAATTCGTTGTTTGTATTTGACTCGACAAACGAAATGTATAAATGGGTACAAAATTAATGTATAAATTACGAAATTATTCAAATTTATTTGTCCTTCCCTCAAACGTATAATCCTATACAATACTCATTACAACTTTACAACAGAGGGACATTTTTCCATTTTAAAGGTGTTTATTTGAAGAACAAAATAAACAATGTCCAGCCAGAGCAGAGCAAATGGCCCCCTAGAAGTAAAGACCTAATTAAGACTAATATGGTACCAGTTGAACTATTCAACCATATTGCGCATATTACTGGAGCTGTATCCGACGACGAGTACACCAATGTAACTAATGATAGATGTGTTGATATTGCTGAAAAGTTTGTCCCAAAGGTAAATGCAATTTGCCAAGACATCGTTTATGTTTCCTCGAAAGGCAGAAAGCAGACCCCCCAAAGTCGCTTGCTCTTGGTCTTACTGTGAGACACATGACGGGTTCAACTCATCTGCTTCAAATATTAGCAAAGTTTGGCCATTGTGCATCCTCTGACACAATTCTTTCGTACGAGACTGCCTTGGCAAAGTATAGAGTCTCACAAGCTGGTAAAGTACCAGAAGGCTTTAAGGTAGGTAGCATTCCAACTGTTGTGTGGGACAACATTGATTTCAATGAAGAAACGTCTTCTGGCAAAGGTACCTCCCATCATACAAATGGTATATTGATCCAGACATGTGAAGATGAAGCAACTGATCAACCACAAGAAGTTAATGTTCCAATCATTAAGAAAGGGGTTAGAGTTTTCACTCAAGCAGAGGAATATTTGGTTCCCTATAATAGGGTAGAAAGAGTTGGTCCTAGAACGAATGTGCCAAACATTCCCGCTCATTGGAAAGACCTTCTATCCAAAGCAAAGGTCAGGGATTTCATGTTTATAATGGCTCGTATGTATGGTGGAGATGATGTTCCTGGTTGGACTGGATATAACATAAAGAAATACGACTATGCCATATTGCAAACCAAGATTCACTACTTACCCGTTATCGAGGCATCTCCAACCGACCTCAACACTGTGAACACTATAATATACAAATCCATCGACATGAAGTCAGTTTTCCAAGTTCCGTATATCATATGCGTCTTTGATCTAGCAATTTATGCCAAAGTCCAAGAAATCCGCTGGGCAGATCAGCATCTCCAAGAAAAGTTAGTTGTTCGTCTTGGCGAGTTTCACGCCTGCATGAGTTTCATGTCAGTTATTGGCAAGAGATATGGGGACGCTGGTTTAAGTGATATCCTCATCGAAGCAGGTGTTGTGGCAGAAGGTTCTCTCAATGGTGTAATCTCTGGTCATCATTAAAACAGATCTATACATGCCTACAAGATAGTATATGAAACCATGGAAGAACTTAGATTTCAAGAATATCTTGAATCAGTTGATGAAGCGAAGTATGAGAAAATTGTCAGTACTTTTACAGCAATTAATTGGGAAAACCATGCAGAAGTTGAAGAAAATATCCTCGATACACAGTTGGAGTATGAAGAATGGGTTGGAAAACGCAGAGAAGAAAATCCAACGTTTGAGTTCTTTTCGTCCCTAATCGACATCGTCTCTTTGCTTCTCGTATTTATCCGAGCTACTAGGACGTCAGACTTTAACCTTCATCTGGCTGTCATAGAACATATGATGCCATGTTATTTCGCGTACGATCGGACAAATTACGCAAGATATCTTCCTGCATACTGGACGGAAATGTGCAATTTGAAGATGACACATCCGCTTGCTTACGAGGAATTTCAGACGAGGGGCTCTTGGACTATCCAGAGGCAAGATAAATGGCCTTTTGCATCGATAGCTTGTGACCAAGGCCTCGAAGAAACATTAAACAGGGATACCAAGATCCAAGGTGGAATCCGACGTTTCACTTTCATCCGATCAGCCGTATTGCGGTGGCTATACGCACAACCTGAACGTGCAGAGATTGCACGTATTTGTGAAGAAATGTGTGGCCTAGAAAGGTCTGATCGAAAGCCTAAAGAGCTCGATAAAACTCGTATCAGACGTGTGCGTGAGTTGGTCCATTCTGTTAAGAATACAATATGCAGCATGTTGAATCCTTGGTCTTCCAGCGAAGACAATTCCTATCTTGTTAACATTAGCTCTGGAGCAATCGCAATCGATAAGGTGAAAGATGATCTTCTTCAAGCGTACCATATTGGAAAAACCAACATGACCCAATTTCTCAAGGACAGGATCAATCCAGATGGGAAAATTAACTTGTATGATACTTTACCGAAAGTCAATTTGAAAACATTCGCACACAACTATGATACATCAACGAAGGTTTCTAGTTCAACGATTTCAAAGAACTCAAGATCCCTGTTAGCCAATCTAGGGAGATCGACATGAGAGAGGTTATGACGTATTGTCTTGGAGACATACCCTTTCCTCTTTCCAATGGATTGGACTCACTTGTTAAGACGGATAAAAGCGCTCTTCTGAATGTGCTCGAATGCGAGGCTAAGACAGTCCAGAATCATTGTGTACAGGCAGTTCCAGTTGACAGTGCTCTCGTGATCGATGGCATGGCTTTGCTACAAACATTAAAGAATCTACCAGCCACATTAGAACAGCTTGCAAAGAAGATTTTAAATCAAGTAATATCCAGCGCGTTGTCACACAAGAGCACGCGAGTTGACTTTGTGACTGACACTTATCCCACTATCAGCATTAAAGGAATAGAGCGTACCAGACGAGCCGGCAAAGGGTCAGAAGTTATAAAGATTTATGGAAAGACCCAGAAAACACCAAGTCAATTCAAGAAGTTTCTTGCTCATGGATCTAACAAGGAACATCTTGTTGAGTTTCTTTTCAAAACCTGGCAAGATCTTTATCTTCGAACGAATATCAAATTGATCATCTCGCATGGGATTCACTGTCATCAACTCACGTGGGATACTCATGGAAAATGTCATGTCGAAGATGTTGAGGAATTGATTTCAGACCACGAAGAAGCAGACACTCGTCTCCTGCTACACGCCAAGAACGCCAGCGACACGGGTGAGCATTCTTCTGTGGTTATTAGAAGTCCAGATACTGATGTCGCCATCATTTGTCTAAGGTTTTCTGTAGCCGTACCACATCTATACTTCCAAACTGGAAAGCGAAATTTACAACGCATCATTTCTATTGATTCAATGGTTCAAGCATTAGGAACAGATGTCTGTAGAAGTCTTATTGGTCTGCATGTTTATAGTGGTTGCGACTCGACAAGTGCATTTTACGGTAAAGGAAAGAAGAAGGCGTACGATGTAATGAAATCAGATCCAAAGTTCATTTGAATGCTTTGCTGGTCTCGGCGAGTCATTCACAGCATCCCCAGAGCTTGTGGAAGTCTTGGAGGAATTCACTTGCAAGTTGTATGGTGATTCATCAGAGGAAATAGATGTTTGCAGGTACAAGTCGTTCTGTGCAACAACATCAGAAAAAAAGCCTGCCACCGTGTAAAGATGCGTTGCTACAACATATTAAGAGATGTTCGTATCAAGCTGCCATACACCAAAGAGCAATTCAGCAAACCATAGATGCTCCGTCTCCTGACGGCTACGGCTGGTCTGTCAAAGACGGTGTTATTGATGTTGTGTGGAAGACCAAACCTGCGGCTCCAGAATGTCTATTGAAGGTTGTTAAATGTGGCTGTAAGACTACCAAGTGCATTAAGGGTGGCTGTTCATGTTTAACGAACAAATTGTTATGTACAGACATGTGCAGGTGCAAGGAATGTGGGAATGGGAAAGATGACAACGAAACCGAAGTACCCGATGATTCATCTCAAATCAGCGCCGTTGAGGATGACTTGGATTTGCCACCCTTTAGTATATGATGTTTTATCGCAAAAAATAAACAGTTCCTTCTTTCTCATCCGTGATATCTATATAAAGATTATTACATGAAAGGTCCCTGCTGGTGTGGTGAACGTTTTCGGTTTCGTGGCGGTGTAATGAACAGTTCCTTCCATTTTATGCCGTAGTGATGTCTATACTTACATGAACCAATTTTCCTTTTTCTACTTTTGGGGATTTTTAAAAATAATACATATTACAAAAACATATCCTAATAGTGAACATGCCTGTGTACCATCGCGCGTGCATATTCGCGCTTCTTGATTACTTGAGAAATTGAAAGAAATTATAAACGATATGATTAAAAGAATATATATTATTTACGAAATTTTCCAGTACGCCTTAAATTTTCGACGATTAGCGTGTTTATTCAATTTTGCAAATGTTACCTGATTAAAAATAACGTTAAATTACATGAAGTATCCTGTCACAGGGGCCAAAATAGTATCTAAGTGGAGCCTTGTAATCCAAGATGGCGGACGGGTTTTGTTTATACCGAAAAGTCGCGTGAATTTGATGATTTTGCAAAGGAAATTTTTGAACAAATTTGTGTATTTACTCTTAGTATATATTCTTGCACCTATTGACCGAGTTTTGATTGGTTTCATGATTCAGGAACGAATTTCAATTTCTAAGCTGTTTACAAATTTCGCCCCATGGTCTATACATGGAGAATTACATATCAATAATACGATTTATTGTTATTAGTTAGTTTTACTGCTCAGTGAAACGAACAAATTTTAGTAAAAGAATATAAACATACCTGGACAAAAGGGATTCTTCTTTGAATACAGTTCAACTAAAAAGCCTGCGAAAACTATCATCCAAAAAAGGAAAGGTTCGCCATTATATCTGTATATTTCATTTAGCATCGCTTTTTATCTCGGCGGAAAAAAATGAAATCAAATTTCTATTGACCCGCTACTGGTACTGACCTGAAACTGGGCCACATACTGTATGTTAATGTTATTAAATAATGTACTTGGACCATGAAATGCATACAATATTATAAACTCTACTATATAAAAGACTACCATTAGTATTTATTATAAGAGTATTGAGTCTATGAGTAATGAGTTTATAATAATGAGTTTATAAAACTCTACAAAATATTAATTTTAAAGCTTTAAATGTCACAAATCTTCAAATTAGCTTATATAACCATGGTTATATAAATACTTGAATATTTTATAGCCATTTTTATAACCATAACGAAATGTCGTTATGGTTATAAAGTTAATAAATTGTCAAGCTATAAAAATGGAGTATGATAAGTAGAGTTTTTAACTTTTGTATTGTAGTTTCCCATCAAATAAGTTGAACCATATACTATGAACATATAATATTTATAAGCTTTATATTTCTGTTTGTGGTCGTACTCTGAGTGTGCATCCACACTGAGCAAGCTGAAAAGTTTGCCTGACTACTGTGGGAATCGAACCCGCAACCTTTGGCATACTATAGTCCAATGCTCAACCAGGCAGCTGAGCTACGGGGTCAAGTTGGTTCGAGTTGGTATCACCAACGCAAGTTATTAACACCAACACACACAAAAAAGCTTATTTCTGTTGTGTTCTTATTAATTAAATTAAATTCAAGAGCATGCAAGGAATGTTTTTTGTGAAGATGAAAGTGACCTACATGTAGATATGGTAAAATATCTTTGATGCTCAACCCATTCATTTGTATTTTGTCCTAGTGTGACCTACAGTACTTTATTTTACTCTGCCTATAGCTCCAGAAATTTTACTTACTGAGAGGGGATTGGGTGCTGACACTCAATGTACACATGTGAGGAGAGTTTCAGTGTTTCGAGCGAAGGCCCTTTGTCTCGAGTTACTATACTGTATCTGGGGTTGGGAACTCCAGACAAAGGATCTTTGCTCAAAATGTTGAAATTGTCCTTATATTAATGCACCTATCAATATTAATCCTGGGGGGTAAGGATGCGGGCAATGGGCGGGGATTGGGTCAAATGCCGGCTGGTGGGGTATTCTAAGATAATCAAATGTTTCAAAACAGACGTACCCAGGGGATAGATTGAGGCAAAATATTTTAATAATATTTAATATAACAAAGTGACTATATGACCGGCAGCCGGTCACGGTTTATCAAATACTAAATGGCTGGCAGTGTAGTAACTATATATAGTTAAATATAAAAACTTTTGTTTGTGTTTGCTTTTACCGGGCTTGCTGTTGGCGTATTCGGCAAAGGCACTGTGTGCGGAAAGTGAAACGCAGTCGGGGTCGGGATGTGTTTTGTCTGACTTAGCATTGTTTTTTCTTAAAATTTTTTAAACTTTTTTTCCGGCTTTTCTAACTCTCAAAAGGTTAGGGGGTTAGGGTTAGGGGGTTAGGGTTAGGGGTTAGGGTTAGGGGTTAGGGTTAGAGAAGGGTTTGGGGTTGGGGATAGTTTATCTTATAAAAATACAACTTTAACTATAGTGACTGTACTGCCTGCCATTTAGTATTTGATAAACTGTGACCGACTATATAGTCACTTCGTTTAATATAAAGAGCCACAAAAAGCGTTTGGGCATCGTATAAAATTTTAGCCCCAGAATCAAGACTATGCATGTACAGTACTGTATTCAAATTCCAAATGGCCAGAAAAGACAGAAGCAGATGTGGAAATAAAAAATAAAAGTTTCCGGACTTCCGGTTTTCTCGATTCGAGGCTCCAGGCTTCATACTGAAATTGCATGTTGGCGAATTATGTCGAATGGCAAATCGCCTGCACCCAGGCAAAAAATCTTTGTCAAATGCCCATCTGTGGGGATAGAATTCACGGTCAAATCCCCACCCATGCCCGCACCCTTACCCTCTGGATTAATATTGATAGGTGTCTAGTTATAATAACCCATCATGCAGCAATGTCCTAGGTAGTGTGCCCTACTTTATTATTTTACTATGCCTAACAGATGTAAGATGATTTTATTCATTGAGGGGAGAGATATGATTAATTAACATACTGTACAGGTACTAATTATTACAGGTACAAGTAAATGAAAATTTATTCCATAACAAAATACCCCTACTTTAAACACCTTTTACCAGAATAGTTGTATGCTAGCAAACAACCAAAAATAGCAAATGCATTGTCAATCAATTCTATTTAATATGGATTCATTATATCCTGATGCTGAATCAAATGTTATTAATAAAAGCTTCCCAGGAGAAGGCAAGTTGTCAAAACAAGTGGCAATATATATATTAATCATTAATGGCATTCTAAGTACTTCATGCCAGTTCATGATCTATTTGGAAAATGTTATTCTTTTGCTGGAGAGCATGGTTATGGATTACCAAACCACACAAGGAATAGAGTTGCCGACTTGTGGTACCATATACAGCTTGTTTTGTACTAAATTTTAACTATTGGACTTTCATGACATGCTTGATTGAGCAGTGACACTACATACACTATATTTTACTTGTAAATATTCAACATTGAACAGAATATTAACCCCTTAAGTGACAATGTGCTCTACTTTATTACTTTTTCTGTTTAATGTGGCCAGACAATTTTACTCATCAAAGAGAGAGTGCTGCCGCTCAATGGATTAAAGCCTTTCTGTAAATAACTATGTACAGTAATAGGTACTGTGCCGTGAATTGAGCCTGCTGCCCTGTGATTCTGATCAGCTCCTTAAGTGCCGAGAGTCCATCGCCCCGAGAGTCAATCAAGCTACAGTAACCAAGAGTTCATGTATATAATACTAGTGTCATCCCAGTTTATTTAATATACTAACAATGAAACCAAAATGATGGTTTATATAAAGTCAAAGCCTCAAAGGGCTGCAGTGGCAGGCTTGTAATTGTTTTCCTTTTGCAGTTGCTCTCAGATAGTTCTAAGAAACACATGTTAAGTTAACACTGTACAGTTTTCATTAGAAATATCCTTCTACGAAAAACCATGAACATTCTGCTAGTATTGCCTTACTAGAGTAGATAGGCTCTTGATTATATCCCATATTTCATATTGGCTATTTGCAACATTCCTGCAATCCATCATGTTATATACACATTTAGCCATGATATCATTCCAATCAAAATTTGATCTTAGAACTTCATTCAAAGAATGTTATCGAGCATAACAATGTATCATTATATGCGAAAGCAAATTGTATTTCCTGTTATACCTACCTTACTTGTATAGGGATAATAAATTCTTTTGACTTGAAAAATGTCTTTATTGATTTCTAAGGTTAGTTATTAGGACTTTTCTTTGCTCCAATGAGTCATTTTGTCTCCAAAGGGCAAAGGAGTCGAATTGACTCCAAAAGTGAAGTAAATAAAAAAGGTACAGAACGACTCCTTCTTTCGGCGTAAATTTTACTCCTTGAAACTCTACTATCTCCCCTGAATAGAGTTTTCAGTGCCTTGTCATGCAAATAGCTTGCTTGCAAGGAACGTTTGGAATTTTTACGAACATTATTTTTAGTTTTTAATTCTTTTAGGAAATAGACTTGCCTAGATTTAATCTTTACGCCCCAAATATTATTTACATCGGAGTTGCATCATAAATTGTACTCGGATTCAAACGATACAATGTCAATGACTTTATAAAAGTAAAATCATATTGTGTATTGGCCTATTGGGTTTACACTTTTACGGGTTCATTTAACTTTAACCCCCTCAAGTAACAGACAATTGGACATGCCAAATCCATTGATATGACAACTTCAAAAAACTTTTTTTCGAAGCTAGAAATCATGACTTTTTTTCAAATTTTTCCAGGGATACCTTTGTTTTCTGCTCTGTAGACTCCCCCTCGTGGCTCTAGTGCTCCACCCCTAGAATAGACCTTACTGGAGTTTGGTGACACTTTGTGTTGCTTCAGTCACCTGCTCGTGGCTCACCCCCCTAAAATTTCTGGCACCACCCCAGTAAAAAATATGAAAATCCGTCTATGGCGATAAGTGACGGGATCATATCATAACACTCTTTAGAATTTGTATTATGAGCGGGTTCTCGGTAAGCATCCTGTCCCGCCTGGCCGGGATCATACAAAAATGAATAGTATTTGTCAAAAATTTGTCCTACAATTATTCTAATTTAGCATTTTATGAGTGAAGTCACAAGCAGAATTCCAACAGGCCCAACATAAAATTTTTTGAGTAAGTTAATACACTTATAAATTTCAAGTGGTAGAACAAGGGCGTACCGAGGCCATTACGCTCGGGGGGGGAGAGAATAGTCATAGACTTAATAACGCTTGGTGACAAACTAAGCAACATTGATTTTATAGAAAATGTTAAAGACCTTGAATTAATATTTCTGACTGAAACATGGTCTAACGAGATTAACAGCATTCCTGGTTTCGTGACATTATCCACCATCACGGCAACCCGGAAATCAAATTCGGCTTGTCGCTTGTCTGGCGGAATTTCACTTTTATTCAAAAAGGAATTTGAAAATGCTATCTTTATTGAAAAACAAACAAAAAATTTCCTATGGTGTCGAATAGACAATACAATCTTAAACTCCACAAAAGATTTATTTATTTGTGGAGTCTACATTCCTCCAGAAAGATCATCCTACTTTGATGAGGATATATTTCATAACCTAGAAAATGATGTGGTATATTTTTCCAAAAAAGGAAACGTTATGCTGCTAGGGGACTTTAATGCTCGTACCAGCAAA